AAGCCTGTCATTTTTGCTTTTTGATAATCATTATCCCAGGCCCCCACACAGGAACTTACTTTGCTTGATGTAATTTTCTACTTTTGTCTTTGTCCTTCCACAAGACAATTTTCCTAAGTGCCTGTAAGTGTCTATTTGTGCCCGTGCACTCAAGAGAAACACGTCACCAACATGCTGTTCCCTCCAGTGATTATTGGGAGAATTTGGAAGGAGGAGAAAGGTCGACTGTCCATTGAAGTTTAATCACCTGTGTGGCAAGGAGGTCCTGCCCAAACTCATGGTAGAAATATCAAATGACATTCCATTTGGAGGGTTTTTCCAGTCCTGGGCATTACCCTCATGAGATTTGATGTTAATTGGTCATTTCCCTCTTGTTTGAAGAATGCAGAACACTCTGTGAGCATTGTTTTAGTAATCTAGAAGGACTTAAGTCTGGAGCTGAATATGAAAGCCCTGTTGGACTAAGCGGCATTGAATAATACTCTTAAGATTCGAAAGGATCCTTGGCCGGGGAAAGTGATGGGCTACAAGCAGGAGCGTGACCACTTGGTGAAAAGAGAGGACTGGCTAAGTCTCTCTTGGCCAGAAGACAGGATATGGTACCTGTGTTGACTCAGTTAATGGCAGGGTGATGGTTTTTCATCGGAAAGGCTGCCCCCGATGGACGTTGCCTGAGCTCGCTGGCCCCTGCCTGCTGTTTAAGTTGGATGGATGTTGACGTGCTGTCCCAGCATTCTGGGTGAATGCTAAGGAGGCCGTGTTTGTGCATGATGTCTGAAGTGAGGCTTGAACTTTTTAGATTCATTCCTCTGGCTGCCTCAGGCTTCGGTCACATCTTGGTCCGATGAGTGAAAGATGGCAACTGTACTCTTTTCTAGGCCGAGGTCTGTTTGTCAGAAACAATTCCCATAGTTTTGAATTTTCTCTTGGGTAGTGATTGTGCAGCACAAATAAGAGCCCCCTTAATATAAATCTTGAGAGGTTATCAGTTTTACTTCCGTGACACTTGTCATTCACTGTGAGTTGTGGTTTGCTCTGAGCCTCTTCTTGGAGGTCTAATTTCATACAGGGTCTGGAGGAAGCTTCAGACAGGATGTTGACTCTTGATTATCTTTGACTGACTAGGAGGCCCTGTGGAGATGCTCCATGACTCCAGGCAATCTCAACGTTTAGCTAAAGCCCCTAAAACTTGAGGTCTTAAATTGCATGCTAAAGATTTCTGGGTTTTTAAAAATTACACTTATTTTCTCTCTGAGAGAACAAGCATGTAAAGTATCCAGTGAGCTCTCTGCTAACTCCTGTCTGGTTTCCTTTTTTGCTTCTCAGATTTACACCAGCCAGGACATGGATCTCAACAGGGTCTTTGACCACTGTTAGCCTTGGACTTGTATCTTCTCATTATGACGTAAGGCCTTAGACAGAAATGACTCCAGCAACCTGTGAACTCCAGTCCTGTGAGGGGCTCAGTAATCATCCTTGTCCAAGTCACTTTATTTATTTATTTATTTGCATTTGCTGGCAACCAGACACAAGGCACAAGGGTCGTTCAGTAGTAGTTGACTCACAAGGATGTCTCTGATAGCCCAAGTGGCCTTTAGAGACGAGCTCACATCCGTGGTTAGTGACATCCTACTGGACTCTTGCATGGTGGTGAGTGTGGCCTTTTTCTGAATAGTGGACTACAGTTTCGAGCACTTTAAAACTGAAAACCATTCCTTCAGTAGGTAGAAATGGTTTTCAGGTATTGGGGTGGAGACATGTATATTTTTGAATTCACTCAATGTTTATTGAGGTCCTGATAAGAATCTGAATATCTGGTTAGTGTCAACATAGTTTTTTTTCATTCTGATTTTGGAGAGTAGTGTGGGAGCCTCACACTAATCGGTGTGAAGAATTAAGTGCTTCGTGATGAGACAAAAGGACCCACCAGGAATACAGGTGTCTTCTTTAGGACTGAATTCCAGCAGGATGCTTGTTAAACACAAGGGGAAGAATGAAAACCCCTGTATCTTCTTCCAAGACAATGTGCACATTGTAAAAATCAGGATTAAGTTATATGAAACTGTCTCTGGCTTTTGAAAATCCAGATGACTCCAGGCCAGAAACATATTTTTTGGCAAAGAAATATAAAAAATTTAAAAAACAATAGGCTGGGAGACTCCAAAGTGCCTCCAGAGCGACTATTGTAGCTCTGAGGTGAGGCAGGGCTCATGACTGAATACTCGCTTTCTTTGGATGTCTCAGTTCACATAAGCAAGTGTAATCTAGGCAACTAGGCATCCACATGGCAGCTGCTGATGCACCAAGTGAATGCCAGGGAAGACAGAACAGTTGGCACCAGGTTTTTTTTATGTCATTATTGTACCGTGAGCCAGAAGAAATAGAAATGTGTACTCATCTGAAGGGAGAAGATGCTGTCTGTCGTATGTGCCCCCACCCTACCCCTGCACTTTGGGTTTGCACACACAAAGTGTCCTCAGGATATTCGTAAGCACCATCTGACAACATCGAGCCCATGCCGATTTGTTTGTGCTACTGTTTAAAACAAACAAACAAACAAACAAAACGGAAGAATTTTGTTTAGCTGACCGTATGCCATTGCATGATTTTGGATTTCTAAGGTAGATGACCAGATAATCTGAAATATCCATGTAAGTACTTAAAGCTGTGGGCAGCAAACTTTTTCTTCAAATAGAGTTTTACTGGAATGCAGCCATGCTCACTGTTTGCACGCTGCTTAAAAAAAAAGTGTATATGTCTGAATCTGTGTGTGAGGGGAGGGACAGTTGTGAATGACAGACAGGGGCATCAGATCCCTTGGAACCAGAGTTAGAGGTGTTTTGTGGGCTGCCCAACATGGGTGCTGGGATCCAAACTTCAGCCTTCAGGACAGCACAGCAAGCGAGCACTGAGCCATCTTGCCAGCCCTCCGTGTGGCTTGGTACAGGAGCATTCGGGTTATGGCAGCAGAGCCAAATAGTTCTGATGGTGTCCTTTGGCCTGCATTCCTAAAATAGTTACTGTCTAGCCTTCTATAGATGGTGAGCCTCTGCCTTAAGTCCTGATAGCAGCTTCTTATACAATGCCAATTTTGAAGGATGCTGGAAGCCTGTTTTCAAGTAAAATATCTATTCATTAAACCAATAGCCTCCTTCCTTCCTTCCTTCCTTCCTTCCTTCCTTCCTTCCTTCCTTCTTCCTTCCTCCCTCCCTCCCTCCCTCCCTTCCTTCCTTCTTCCCTCTCTCCTTCCTTCCTTCCTCCCTCCCTCACTTCCTTCCTCCCTCCTTCTTTGCTTTTTCTTCTCTTCTTTTCTTTAGTTCCTTCCTTCTTTTCTTAATAGGTCTGGCCATATAGCCCTAGCTGGCCTGGTACTCACTAGGTAGAACAAGCTGGCCTTGGATTTGCAACAATTTTCCTGTCTCAGTTTCCCGAGTTTATAGGTCCCACTCCAACTTTGAGATTGTAATGGCTTCTCTGGTCAAACTTTGGTGTCTAAGCTCAAATTGGAGTCACACCTTAATTTGTTATGGGTCTCTAGCGGCATAATGAATGATTTTCTGAAAATACAATTCTGATCAGGTTAACAAAGTCCAGAGGTGGGGCAGGAGTAAGACTGGATGGACAACTAGGCCCTGATCCCCTTTGGAAATTCTGTGAACAGTGGCAGGGTAAAGGCACTGTTTCTCAGAAGACTTAAATTGTCACTATCATCAGTTACTGCCAACACCTCTACTCAATGCTTCAGGACTGGGAAAGAGGAAGGACCCTAATGGAGGTATATCACACACAGAAGTCAGAACAGGGTACTAGTCTACAGTATAGATTGAGATCTAGCTATGAAGAACCGTCATGTTGATGTCATGTAATCTCAGTATAATTGTGCTAATAGGCAGCCATAGATAATGAGTGCAGCCTTGTTTCAATAAAACTTTATTGACAAAAAAACAAGCAGTGGGTCAGGTGTGGCCTGTGGGCCATCATTGGCTGGCCCCACATGGAGACTTTGAAAGTTATGATTAGCTAGAAAATATCAGTTTCAATTCTTTCATGTCTTAGAAAATGGTGAAATGCAATGTACAAAGTTACATGAGAACTGAGCCAGGACTCAAAGCCACAATGCATTTTTGGCTCAGAGCCCAATTGTGTGATATGGTGTTGCCTCAGCTGGCCTGTCAGATTATAGCATTGGGCTTTTAAGCAAGTACCTTGTGAATGGCAGAATTCCCTCTTCAGGTTGTCTGTGTACAGAGATGGTGAGAGCTCAGGCTCTTTTAACAGAGAGGAACTTCCATCCCCGTGACTGACCCATACATAGGAAAACAAAATACAGGTTGCAGGAATTCATATGGACCAATGATGCCCATGAGTTGTGAGAAAGAAATGGGCTCCCACAGCTGCGTCATAGGATGTGATCACTTCAACCGGGAGTGCCAGGAGATTTGAGACAGATGTTTTCAGACATGCCGCATGCCTAAAACATTTCCAGGGGTCGGGCTGCAAATAGTGACTTCATAAGTGGAGAAACGGGAAAGCATGCAAGTTGAGGACACAGGAGTTTATTCAGCACTAGGTGCGGGGCCAACCCCTTTGCTTTACATCTGCCTGTCGGGGTTGGCTCTTTAATCTGCCTGGCCCTGGATGTTGCTCTTTGTCTGCCCGTGAATAAAGTGCAGCATTGTGGTTAGTAATCCCACTCCAGTGACTCGACTTCAAATGTGGTTTTGGAGTGCATCCCGGAGTTCTGTTTGTTAAGCTTCCTACTCCTGTTTCAGAGACACCACTGGCTGGAGAGCAGCAAGCAGAGCAGGCTCCCCTCTGCTCGAGACCTGCCGGGCTTGGTGCTCTCTTCCCCTCTCTTGCCCTTTTCCTTTCCGTTCTTTCTTTCTTTCTTTCTTTCTTTCTTTTTTTTTTTTTTTTTTTTGGTTGAAAGTTTTTCCAAGGCAAGTTCATGGATAAGCTGATGCGTTTCTTGTTCTTTTTCTGTCTGCCCCTGCTCCTAGTGAGTAACCACACTGGCCGCATCAAGGTGGTCTTTACTCCGAGCATCTGTAAAGTGACCTGCACCAAGGGTAACTGTCAGAACAGCTGCCAGAAGGGGAATACCACGACTCTCATTAGTGAGAACGGCCATGCAGCCGACACCCTGACAGCCACGAACTTCCGAGTGGGTGAGTTTCTGCGTGGTCCCTAACTGTCCTTACCTCCAGCCGTTTTATGAGGATATAACACTTGGACACCCTTCTGTTCACATGGCTCTCTCTGCCTGAACAGCTTTCTATCTCTGAAGATGAATGTGCTTGTTTTATGAGGTCTTTTAAGTTGCTTTTTGAAATACTTTTTTTTTCTGTCTGATTTTTGGCTTCTTGGGGAAATGGCAACTAGAATATTTCCCCTTATGACTTAGCATCTCCCCAGCTGTTCAGTGATGGGAAGGTACTGAGTGGACCAGACAAGAGTGAGTTTCTAGGTGAGACCTGAGTATCTAACTTGCATTGCTTAGCTTCAGATTTTATCAGGTTGTTGATAAACTGGATCTGCATTAGGTTTAACTCCTATAACCTGGAATGTTGTAATGAAATTAAAATTAAAAGTTTTCATATCATAAATAATGGGGCTTGTAATTCTTTTTCTCTATAAACTGTCAAAATCTGCACTTTGGTTTAGGAAGCAATGTAGCCTTGTCTCTTCTGCCACGTGTCTGCTCTGTATCTATCATGAGACAGAATTATAGATTGATGCATAAGATGAATTTGCATAAGAGAGACTAGTGGATTGCCGTCAGCCCACAAAAACTTTAAATATAAACTAGTAGTTACTGACTGCACAAATGGGACTTTTGCCTCTTTTAAAATTCTGTTTCTTTTCTGCCTTTTTTGTAAGCGGAGAAAGTATTGCGGTCTCCTGAAAGCTGCCATAGCGCCATGCCATCATGCAACACAGTATTTTTGTCACTCAAAAAAAGAATCTTTTATTATTTTTTGACCAGTTATGGCTTGCCATGTGTACTCAAATAATCCAGACACCCACGTTACTTTTTGAGTTACTCACAAGAATAACTGAAATGTCAGACAGATAATAACACTGGCTAGATCTGGTCTTTTTATGGAATATTGCTGTTTAGTCTTGGGTTTGTGTGTCCAAGGGGTGCAGGAAAGGGATGCTATTTCAAACTGAGTTTTCATCAAGGCAAAGTATGAAGGGCAGCCTGAAGCCCTTACTGGTGCCTCAGTCAGTCCGTGGCATTGTGGAAACTCTAAATGAGGCTGAAGCTGTGTTATTGATCATCTGTGCTTGGAAAAATAATATGTACCCATGGATATGATTGAATAGGGTATTGTCATTTTCCTGGCTAGGATTAGGGTACTTGGGAGAGGTTTTAAGGAGGATTTAGGTCTTCTATGCCAAATGGCACATAGTGCTTAACAGGCCAGGGGGCGGAGTCTAAGGTGAAGTGCTGAAGTGATTGATGATCAGGCAAATAGACGGGAGTATCGGTTCTGTTGCTGTCCAGGGAGTCCACAGGGCATGCCATTTAGGATTTTGGGGACTCCGATTTTCTCACCCCTCAAATAAATGGGATTTTATATATATAGTGACTCCTAAAATCTTACACTGTGAGGCTTCCTGTTTTTACTTTTGTGGGTCACATTGGTGATTCGACGTGTTTCCATGCGTATGGCAGGCACAGTGCTCCGCTACTGCCTCTCCTTCTCAGTCATCTTCTGGCATTTAAGTCAGCGGTAAATAGTGTTATTTCACGGCCGTCTCCTTTCCTGTAAACAGGGGGAGGAAGGGAGAAAACAGTCCCCAGGCAGGAGATACCGGACCCGGGTGCTTTTTTCCCCATTTCGCTCTTCCTCGCAGGAGTCCTTTCTCACTGCTCTCCTCGGTCATCATCAGCGTGGTCTGCGCCTCCCGGCACTCCCGGCACTTATGGCAAATGTTTACAGTAGCAACGACAAAGTAACTGAATGGTAGTCTTTTTTTTTCTGGCTTGCAGCATATTCATTTTGAAACTGAATCTTTGAAGGCATTGAGAAACAGAGGAAGTCTGCTTGTTAACGCATGCTGCACACTTTTCTTGTTGGCTTTTGCCCAATGGTTTAGGGGCAGATTACACATAGCTTATTCAGAATATAATGTATGACACAGTTACCCACAAAAGCAGTTCGGAATCAACCCTTAGCACCCCCATTGCCATTTAATTTTTCAAAAGTCTAAGTACAATAAAAAATTTTAAAGCTCTATTTACAGTGAGTAGTTTTGCAATGGAAACCATGAGGAATCTTTTATTTCTCTCCAATATTATTTTATTCCATTTAAGTTCAAATATTAGAGGGCTTGAGGGGCACGTTTTACAATTTATCTTTACTGGAAAGAGATGTCTTAGCAAACTTATAAAGTGTCATCCTTTAAAAACACAGCAAAGCTCAAAAATTCATTTGTGTGCTTTGGTCTTTTTGAACTTTATTGGTGTAATGTATTTTATTATTTATAAAGAGTAGTTTTCTGACTTATTTTCTCTCCCTTTGTACTTTTGTGTAAGGTCATACGTATTTTGACAAATAAGACACACGCATGGAAAGCAGTATAATTTGTGGAAAACTCAAGTGCTCATAACTTGCTAACAACTGGTTTTGGCTTGCCGTACTTAAGGGTACTAAAGGGGTTGGCCTGATGTGCTTTCCTGGGGGAAGGCCAGACAATACAACTGAGTATTCATGGGTCTTGTGGCCTGTTATGGCACTCCCCTCTGCTGCTCCGTAGACAGTACATAGAAGAGTAGACACTGTGGCCCAGTGACAATTGGTATGCAAAGTTTGTCTCAAGTTCAAGTTTGTGGATCCCTGCCCCAAGGAGTCAAAACACTATCGAAAGAGTATCCCATGAAGTCCGGAGGATAGTTTAATGACATGACCCACAGTAGACAAAACTTACAATGTTTTTTTTCTGGTGATTTACCCATCTTTGAAGGGAGCAGAGCTAACCTTACTGTCACCCAGTTTTTGCAATAACGAAGTAGGCACAGAGGGTTAAGTGAACTGGGCTTAGATAACTCTGCGTCATCTCTATGCTTACTTCCCTGGAGTCTGAGTTCAGTGCCTCCAAGGGACACCTTGAAGAACCCCACGGAGTTGGAACATGTAGACAGACTGAAAAAAGAGGTGTGGGGGGTGGAGAGGGAGGGAGCACATTTGGGTTAACGCAGCCTGGTACTTAAGGATCCTGACTTCATTATAGCCGAGCTCTGGGCCCCTCTTGGGCCCCAGGTCACCCCGACTACCCTGGGCAGTCACCAATAGACATACAGAGGACTGCTCTGTAGCAGCCTGGGCCTTGGATCCCTTTACTCATGCTCCCTCTGGGTTGGCCTTCTGTGCTGTATGGACTGCATGTTGGGCTGGCAGATGTGAGCAAAGCAGCGGGTATTTCCCTACTTCTCTCGTGATGAGTAACCTAATAATCTCTGCCCTTGATATCCAGTAAGAGGAGAATCAGGAAGTAGAATTTCTACCAAACCAGACTTTCAAAGTGAGGTCTCCAGGCTGGGGTGTAGTTCAGTGGCAGAATTCTTCTTGCTGAGAGTACACAAGGCCCCAGTCCCAAAAAGAAGCAAATCCATACAAGATTTTATAAGATAAAGAGTGAGGCCCCCTTGGGTAGTAATAGATCAGTATTTAGCCCTGGTGTCCAAATGGACTTTGGGAGCCCATTCCACATGGAGGGATGCTCTCTCAGTCTGTCACATGGGGGAGGGCCTAGGCTATGCCCAGGATGATATGACAGACTCTGGAGATCCCCATGGAGGGCCTGGTCCTCCCTGGGGAGTGAAGGGGGATGGGATGAGGGGTTGGGGGATTGGGGGGCTGAGGAGGAAGGGAGGATGAGGGAGCTGCGATTGACTTGTCAAGCAAGCTTGTTTCTGATTTAAATAAAAAAGACAAGAAAAAAAAAGAGTGAGGCCCCATGGAGATGTTTTTTAAGGGACACAGTACTTTTGCATCGTAATAATAAGATGGCGTAGAGAAGATTTACATTGAGCCATATTGTCTATAGAGCAGATTTCTAATTATACTGATTTGTTTCCAGTGATGGCAATTTTCTTTCTGCTTCCCTCTTTCCCTTCATTTCTTTCTTTTGAAAAATGAAAACTTACCTAAAGGTGAGCGGGCTGGCTTTGCCCATTCAATGCTGCTGTGTCAGTGGCTTCTTAACCTGTGTGTGTGTGTGTGTGTGTGTGTGTGTGTGTGTGTGTGTGTGTATGTGTGTGTGTGATGAAAATCAGGTGTCTGTGCGTATGTAGAAAAAGGGACCGAAGACTCACTGGTGTTGCAAGCAGAATATCACAAACCCTGCATGCATGCCGTCGGCTGTGACTCTTATGAGCTGGGAAAAGAGATAACACAAACTGCTCTGCATCCTGTTCACATGGTGCTGTTTCTCTGAGTGGCTGGAAAGGACTGTCGTCCTCTGAATGCCTAGGAAATAACTCCAGAGTGAATCTGATAAATTAGAAACTGTTCGCACGGTGCTGTTTCTCTGAGTGGCTGGAAAGGACTGTCGTCCTCTGAATGCCTAGGAAGTAACTCCAGAAATGACTCTGATAAATTAGAAACCGCATCCCCATCTGTTACTTCATTTGAGAGAACTCAGTGGTGACAGCCATAATCTGCAGGTGTGAGAGCCAGAGGCATCTGTGCCCTGAAGGAAGACGACTTTAAACAACGTTTCTGGGCGTGTCTTAGTCCTTCCAGCTGTCTCATGTTGCTTCCTCTGACCACGTGTTAAATAATTCTGCATAAGGCAGGATGCTAGGTTTTACATGAAGACCTACCCCCTGCTCCCTCCTCTGACTGTGTAGCAAGTGATTATGTGTTCAGCGGGGTCCTAGGTTTTACACGAGGGACAAGCCATGAAGCTACTGCTGTAAGGAGGAGGTATAGAAGATGCATACAGAACCCTACATCACGCTGAGCTGCAGTCCAGAGAAGAGCTGAGGAATCACTTCCAACTGGGGTGGGTACTTGAAGAGGGAAGGGGTGTCCCTCTATGCCTCCGTGTAGCCCCCCTTACTCTCTCCCCTCCTCAGCGTATTGTCACACAGGCAATCAGTGAACATGGCCCGCTTGTTGACTGACACGGACTGTGAAACTCTAAACATTGTAAG